GGTGCCACCGGACCCTCTGACCACCATCAGTAGGTAAGGTGGGTGAAGTGTCTTGCCCAAGAACTGGGAGAGCTGGACGGGGGATCGAACTGGCAACTTTCCAGTCACAGGATGACTCCCCTAACCACTCCGCCACAGGTTTTTGAGTAATCTTGGGCACACGAGTGAGACGGACTAAAGTTATAGTGAAAATCATGTCATCATAAGAAGAGGAAGTGATCATCAGCCAATCAACAGCACCGTTCTTGTCTTTAGCATGCTATCAGGACACAACCATGTGTTGTTCAGCTGGAACTCCAACTAATAAAAAGACTGTGGTTGGTTTAAAAAGGTCATGCAAGCAGAAACATGCTACAATGAACCAATCAGCAGTCAGCTGGGGTTCCACCAGTCAAGAAGCCTAATTGTTACCTGTGATGTCAATAATTAGTCATGTGATCAGGAGACACCTCAGTTTCCTTATGGATGACAACACGAGTAACAGACAGCTCAGGGTGCTGCCTTTGTGCTTCACTGAGAGCAGCTGCCAGGGCCTTCAACAGAAACATGAAGAGTCAGAGCTGGCCCACATCTGGATGCAGATCTGACCTGGTCCATACACATGTTTTAGGGTTTAATCAAGTCCTGTTTGAGTCCTGTAGTCCAGTGTTTTGGTCTGGATCTCAGCAGCCTGCAGTTTGTAGTGTTTCTGGTGCTTCAACACACCTCCTTTAAACTGCTGGTTGTTGAGAAACAGCTGATAAAGAGTCAAAGTTTAAAGCAGGTGYGTTAGAGAAGAAACACGACATGATGGTGGAGTTCAAGCACTGATCCAGTCACTTACTGATGTCTGAACGTTGGTCATTGTTAGAGAGGTAACCATGACAGTCACTGGGTATCTGTTACTGAGTTCATGATGAAAGTACCTACAGTAAGTAACAGTTAATGACAGGACCTGAGTAATAAATACTTTCTGTGAGAATCATTACACAGGTTCACTGGTTCAAAAACATTTTCACAGAGTTGTCAGTAAAACCTGGAGGACTGTTACTGAGTGAACGACTGAATCTGACTGAGTCTACTGACTGTATGAAGACTGAACCTTATTCACAAGTTCATCATCATCATCATCATRATTATTATTATTATGAGACTTTYCTKATTTCTTTCATAAAAATAAAMTCTATAWACAATAAAAATGCAAATCACAAATAAAATGAAAGGCAGCAGAAAGAAGAGAAAAATTTTCTGCCCCGTTTTTCCAATAAATACCAGTAATAATAATAATGATGACTGGTCCATGAGTTACTAACGACTGGATCTAAGGTGATGGTAGTAACTGAATGATAACTAGTTGTAAGTGATGATTGCAGTACCTGGTCATGGTCAACGTCTGTGTCTCCAGAAATCACAATTCTTTTTTCAATTCTTGTTTCTGAAACTCCTCCTTTCACTGTCTGAAAAGAGAAAAGTAGAAAAAAGACACAACCTGAGAAAACACAATCCTGTCACAGAACATGTGTTTCAGCTACATGTTTAATCCGTCTGATTCCTACGAAGCTTTAATTTGTCTTTAGGCGTCTGATGTCGAGATCTGACAGAAACAAAGTTTGATTCATATGAAGAGATGAAGACAAACACCGACTGATGCTCTAATCATTTCTAAAGTAAAAACTTTTTGTGTCACTGAATCTGTTAGTTTTCTGGATGTATAGAGCYATCTCACAAATTAATGTTTTACAGATTTTTTAAACTCGGTTTGTTTCCATGTAAAAGGGCCTGTGGATGATTAAAAATATATTAACATCAAATATCCATTTCCAACCCACTCTGCTGCTGGAAATAAGTTATTCCTCCTCATTTCCTTCTGATTTGGCTGCAGCTGACGGTCCACCTG